TCGTCCTCGTCCTCGTCGAAGCCAAACACGCCGCCGACACCGAGCACGAAATGACCCTCCTCCGCGCCATCAAGCTCTACCCAAAAGCCATCGGCTGGTCCGTCCTGCTCTCCTCGACCCTGATCATGGAAGGCTACGACCTCGCCCTCTTGGGGAGTCTGTACGCCTCTCCGGTGTTCAACAAGAAGTTTGGGGAGCTCAACCCGGCCACGGGCAAGTACGCCGTTTCCGCGGCTTGGCAGTCCGGCCTGTCTAACGGGGCAAGAGCGGGAGAGATCTTTGGACTGATCTTTGCGGGATGGGCGGCTGATCGGATCGGGTATAAGAAGACGACGATTGCGAGTCTGGTGTTGATGATTGCGTTCGTTTTTGTGTTGTTTTTTGCGCCGAATGTGAAGGTTTTGGTGGTGGGGGAGATTCTTTGTGGTGAGTTATGCCGTTCCTTCGCAAGGGTCACTACTCGTCTCAAACTGGGAGGTTAAAGTTGTATGCTAACCGGTCCGACCAAAACAGGTATCCCCTGGGGTGCCTTCCAGAGCGTCACACCCGCCTATGCCTCCGAGGTTGCGCCGATGGTGCTTCGCCCGTACCTGACCACCTTCATCAACATGTGCTGGGTGATTGGCCAGTTCTTCGCCGCCGCCGTCAACAAGGGCTCCGTGGGCCGGACCGATCAGTGGGCGTATCGGATCCCCTTTGGAGTGCAGTGGGTGTGGCCGATTCCCATCCTGGCCGGGCTCGTCTTTGCGCCCGAGTCGCCTTGGTGGTACGTCAGACATAACAGGAGGGAGGAGGCCAAACAGTCTCTGCTGCGTCTGACGTCGAGGAACCAGCCCGGTTTCAGTGTGGATAAGACGCTGGCTATGATTGAGCATACGAATGAGCTCGAGAGGCAGCTGAAGGAGGGCGTTACCTTCCGTGACTGCTTCAGGGGGATTGACCTCCGCCGTACGGAAATCGTCGTGGGCATCTGGCTTGTGCAAACCCTCGGCGGCCAGAACCTCATGGGCTACTTCTCTTACTTCCTCACGCAAGCCGGCATGGACCCGGGTAACTCGTTTTCCCTCTCCATGGCCCAGTACACCCTTGGAATGATCGGTACCGCTGGCTCTTGGTTCCTCATGTCGCGCGTCGGCCGGCGACGGATCCACTTCAGCGGTCTCTGCGCACAGTTCTGTCTCCTCATCATCGTCGGCGGTCTCTCCTTCGGCGGGAACAAAGCCTCCGTGTGGGCCATCGGTGGCGTCCTCATCGCTTTCACGTTCGTCTACGACTTTGCTGTCGGACCGGTGACGTACTGTCTCATTTCGGAGCTCTCGTCGACCCGTCTAAAGGCCAAGACCATTGTACTTGCTCGTGCGGCGTACAATGCTAGCAACATCTTTGTCAATGTCATGACGAATTACCAGCTGAGCTCGACGGCGTGGAATTGGGGTGCCAGGACGGCGTTCTTTTGGGCGGGCAGCTGCTTGTTGTCGGCGATTTGGGTGTTCTTTAGACTGCCGGAGCCGAAGGGGAGGACGTATGCTGAGTTGGATATCTTGTTTGAGAAGAAGGTCGCGGCGAGGAAGTTTGCGAAGACCAAGGTTGACCCTTTTGATTTGCAGAGTCATGGTGGGAAGAAGATGTCGCTTGAGGAGACGGAGAGTCATGAGGGGAAGGAAATTAAGGTATGAAAGGTCGGATTGTAAAAGTTTGTAGATGTGTGCTTGATAGAGAGTTAATGATACCTTTGCTGCATTTGATGTTGAGTTTACGTGTCAATGACTGTCAGAAAACGCGAGTGTCCCAGACCATTTCTCGAAAATGGAGTCGAGATTGGGGTACAGTAACTTGGTCGTCCGGTCGTCTCTTTCCGGCGCGATGATCTCTTGAACCTGACAAAACACCTCTTCCAGGGAACAAAACTGATGAAGGATCCCATACTGAGAAGTTGAAGTCGACATTGACAAGTATTCAAGCATACAAGTGCTTGATTACATAGACAACCTTCGTCGGTGTCGGTCGTGTATGCCTGTTGTCACGGTATCCTTTGTCTACCATTCTAGGCGGCCGCTCTGTTTCCCTTTTCAGGCGACTTGGTGACTCTTTAGGGGCTAGTGCCAAGTCAATATAGCGGTTATGATGCCGTAAAAACTTGAAACGAAGGCAAGGTTTCATTGGAGCGACATCACATCACCATTCATGCCAGATTCTAGGCCAGCGAATCTGCGATCTCTCTCTCCCCATTTTCCACCACCATTTTTTGCCTGTCATCAAGAGTGAAAGTGGGAGGGACTGTAACGGAGCTCGGCCACAAAGAACCCTCGCACGTCTCGCCTCTGCGCTGTTCGGTTCTTTGATCGATTTCTTGATAAGGGACGGGACAGGAAGAGTGGCAGGACCGGCACCGGCATCTGTAAACACACCATGGGAGAATAGGGCGCCGCTATCAGGCGATAGGCGACGACATGGGTGGTAATGGGATTGACGGCGTCAACCGACGTGCCACCGGGACCGCTGGTCGGGGTATTTCGGCTCCCGCTGCTGCAACTGACCATTCGGCTCAACCCGCGGCCACACTCACACGCGGCTCTTCTTCCTCGTCCAACGTGGTAGCGCTGTCGGTTCCCTCTTCGAATCAGAACCAGGGTGACATCCCACCAGCAGCAGCAGCTTCCGGTCCAGGTCCAGGTCCAGGTCCAGTACGAAGACAGAAGAAGAGAACCCAAGTCTCCAAAGCCTGTCAGCGATGCAGGAGGCTGCAAAAGGGATGTAGCGAGTCGCGGCCCTGTCAGAGGTGTATCGGTGTCGGACTGGAGGATCAGTGTCTCCGGAGCGAGATGGCAATGGAGTGTCATCAGAGTGGAAGCCGACAACATGGACAACAACAGCATCACTCCCAGTCCCGGTCCCAAACACAGACACAGACACAGACACATGTACTGCTGCCGCCCCGGTTTCATGCCCAGCCTGGACTGGGGCCGGCTACAGCCACAGCTTCAGCAGGGACAACATCGACAGCATGGTCGTTCACCCAGCTCCCAGCCAGCCCTGAGAGTCTGGTCAACTACCCCCTAGTTGGCGGCGGCGCAGCATCAGCTAGCTCTCCTCACCAGGCCCAGCAACATCACCTTCAACCCATCATCAACAACCCCCTCCCCAAGCCAGTACTCGACCACTGCATCCTCCGCTTCTTCTCCCGCCTCTACCCCACCATCCCGATCCTCACACCTTCCTACATCGACCACCTCCTCCACATCTCTTCCTCATCGTCAGACAACGGAAGCGCGGAAGCCCAAACCCTCCTCACCACCCTCTGCGCCCTAACCCTCCTCCAGATCGAATCCCCCTCCCAGCACCTCTTCACCTCCATCGGCATCCCACACTGCAACTCCGTTTATGGCCGTTTACTGTTTGACCAAGCACAAGCCAGCCACCATCGAGCTTTGGCTTTGGGTGCCACACAAACACAAAAAAGGTTTGCCCCGACACTGGAGAGGGTGTTGATTACTTTTTTCTTGTATGCGTGTCATGCGGTGCTGTTTCATCATAGTCAGGCGTTTTTTTGGTTGAGGGAGGCGAGTACGCTTTGGTTGGTTTTGAGGGTTGGGGTTGGTGATGATTCTGGGGCTGGGTCTGGAGGACGGGAAGAGGGAAGGGGAGGAGGGATGGTAGATATGGCAAGGGTGCGAAGAACCTTAGCAGACCGATTGTTTTGGGTCTTGCTGGTGAGCGAAAGGTCGCATGCCATCCGCTACCGACGGCCGATAACCCTGCAGATTACGCCCAGCACGCCATCGCTGGATTTCTGTACCGACCCCGAATTTGCGGGGTTAGCGAGCCTGGTGGCGCTGTTCAGGCCGTTGGATACGGGGTTTATGGCGTTGTTGAACCAGGAGGCGACAACAACCACAACCGCGTTTGGGAGTCCGGCGATGGTGGCGGGGCCGTTGGATGTGGTGGAGAAGTCGATTGCGGAGGCGGTGCCTGGTCCTAGTCTGGGTCCGGGTTCGGGGTCGGGGCCGGTAATGGGGACGGTTTCCCTCCCGTCAATGTCGCCGGATGGACACCTGGTGGATTCCATGTCTGTCTCCCAGGCCGCGGGACCAGGCCCCTCTCTCCTTCCCACCTGCATCGGCCACCTCCACACAACCCAAGTCGCCAACCTGAAAATCACTCAACTCTGGCTTCGCGTGATCCTCTGGCAGATCCGGTTGCGCATCGGGTTGTTGATTCCTCCCCCTCCTCCTCCTGCTCCTCACTCATCTCCAGCTCCATCTGCCGCCCCGAACGGCACAGTCAAGGAATCCCTAACCTACCACCACCCCCTCTCCATCGGCCGCTCACTCGTCCAAGTAACCAAATCGCTTCCCCTCGAAAGCATCCGCGTGCACGGAGTCGGGTCAACGGAGAAGGTCTTTGACGTTGCTTGCGCCATGGTTGATGTTTTGGCGAGAGTGCCTTTGGAGGATCGGAGGAGGTTTTCTGGGACTGGGTCGGCGGGGTCGTTGCTGATGACGACGAGGGAAATGGAAAGGCAGGAGGAGAGGGAAAAGGAAAGACACCTCCAGGAAGAAGAGGAAAAAGAAGATTTGGAGTGGATTAGAGGGTTGATTCATCGGTTACCGGGTGGGAGCGCTATTTATGATGAGTTGTTGGGGAAACATATTGCCGCTGCTGGTGTGTTGCCGGGGTTGGGGGTGAGGGCGTTTGAAGAATGACGATAAGCTGCGTATGATATCTGAGGAATTGGGTTGTTTTGGGAATGAGTTGGTTGGGGATTTGGATTCTGGAGTCTGTCAATTGCATTTCGGAACGATGCTTGAACACAAAAAGGAAGATGTCTGCATGTATCTAAGACAGACGCATATATGACGTCGATTTTGGCCTTAAGATACAGAGTAAATAAAAACAAACGCAAAAGAAGACCCGTCGGAATAAAAATAAAGAGAAAAGAAGTGATAAGCATGGGAAAAACAGAATGTAATTGCAAGAACGAAAAAAGGTGCAAAAAGAATCGCCCACGGCGAGACTCGAACTCGCAACATTCAGATGGCTTAGAAAGACCTTTACAGGCTTCTTAAAAGTCTGACGCGCTAACCAATTGCGCCACGCGGGCTTTTTTGTGTGATTGGCCGTGCAGAATGTCCACTTATAAGCTTGGAATGACCTTGCGTCTTCCATCAAACATTCATGCGAAACACAACGAGCACCAGCATCACCACCAACAAACAAGCCACTCCCTTGCCAGCTGCCAAGTCATTGTTGGTGAACGGCAAGAACAAAGGGACAAACATCCATATCACCAACCAGTTCTGACTCCTGTGTGTGAACAAAGGAAAATATCCAGCTTTTATTGCATTCCAATTCCCACATCCACAACCACACTCTTCTCCAGGGGTATATGTTCCTAGTACCTTACTCTGACTGATAATGCACTTTGTTCCATTCCATCCATCGTCCATCGCCCATCTCTTTTCCAGACCTGCCACCCTATTCCAAGCCAACCACGCCAACCCATGCTTAACCCAAGTTAAACTCACTAGCCATATTCCCCATCATCATCTTCATCTTCTCCTTCATCCTCCTGCCCGCATCCTCATCCGCTGCACCAAAGTCCCTCTCATCATCATCATCCTTCTTCGGTCTCCTGGTGGTGGTACCATCGCCCACAGACTTGCTCGTCTTATTCGTCTTGTCACCCGGCTGCACGGGCCTGTGCGTCCGTCTCGACACACCACCGCCAATTCCACCAGGCGCCTCGCGCAAACCGTACGCCTTGGCCATGTGACCGAGGTGTAGCGCGGTAATGTCAAAGTAGACACGCTCCTCGCGGACGTGCGTGGCGTAGGCGCGGATGTGCGAGCGGAAGGCTTGGCGGGCGGAGACGAGGAGGGGGTTGTCGGGTGTTTTGTTCTCGTCCTTTTTGGCATCCTTCTTGCCCTTCTTGCCCTGTTTGGAGGCGGCGAATTTCTCGCTTTTGGATTCGAAGACGGGCGTGGCGCCGGGGAGAGGAGCGAGGAGACGCTGCTCAAAGTGTAGTTGGAGAGCTTCGGCGCGGGAGGCCCAGGATTGACGGTCGGTTTCGAGAACGCCGGACTCGGTACCGGGGACGTTGATGGTTGTGGCGAAGCCCTTTTGCAGGATAGAGTCGTAGAGCTGGGGCGCGATAGGAGTCGATTTGGGCAGGATGGAGATATAGCCTTCTTCGGAGCCGGGGAGGAGGAAGAGCACAGCTTTACCGGCGCGACCGGCACGCGCGGTACGACCGATACGATGGACGTGGTCGGGCACGGCGAAGGCCGGGTCGTATTCGATGACGAGTTCGACGGCCGGGACATCGAGACCACGCGAGGAGATATCGGTGGTGATGAGCACGGCGGGGTCCTTGCACTCGCTGAAGGCCTTGAGGGTGGCGCTACGGACGGGCTGAGCGAGCGAACCGTGGAGCTTGTGTAGCATCACCGTGGGGTTGGCTGGGGAGGTGATGTATGTTGCTGGTCCGACGGTCGTCTCGATGTGGATATTCGGCTTGGTGGGAGCTTCGCCTTCGGGCTTCGGTTCGGGCTCAGCGCGCGGTGCGCTGGACTTGAGAAGCTCGAAATGGTAGTCGACCGAGTCGGCACACGAGATGAAGATGATCGCCTTCATGACCGAGCCCTTCCTGGCAAAAGTTGACTTGAGCAACGCAATAAGCGTGACCAAGCGCAACTTGGCGGGTGTAATGATCGCGGCCTGCTTCAACTGGGCGGGCGCAGAGAACGCTGTCTCAACGGCACCGGTCTCCGCATCCTTCTCCATGTCGCTCTTGGACGCTGTGATGTGAACGGCATCCTCCAAACTGATCTCGCCCAGCTTCTGCACGTTCATCTTCATGGTAGCCGAGCAAAGAACCGTGACTCTCCTCGAAGGGAGAACGCCATCCAGAACCACACCCTCGGGGTTCTTCTTCTGTAGTGTACCCGCCCTGATCTTGCCAACAATGGTCTTGATATCGTCCTCGAAACCCATTTCCATCATGCGATCACCTTCATCGAGTACCAACCAGCGGACTGTGCCAACTTCGAGAACCTTTGTGTTGTCGAGATGATCTGTCAAGCGACCGGGGGTAGCGATCAGGATGTTGACACCCTTTCTGATGCGCGCCTTCTCGGACTTTTTGCTCTCACCACCTATTACTGTGGTGCAGACTAGCCAAGGGGCGCAGCGCAACACCTTCTCGAGCACAACCGAAATCTGCTTGCAAAGTTCGCGGGTGGGAGCAAGGATAATGGCGAAGAGTCCAGAGTTGCGGTTCATCTTGGTGGCCTTCGGGGTACCGTCCTCGTTGTGACTGAGGGCCAATATCCTGTGGACGATAGGGAGGAGATATGCTAGCGTCTTTCCGGAACCCGTCTCGGCTTGCAGGAAGGCATCGCTATCCTCCTTGATTAATTGTGGTATCGTGTTCTTCTGGATGGCTGTCGGGGCCTTCATCTCGAGCTTTGTCGCCAGGTGCTGGGACACACGTCGGGAGAGACCCAAGGAGAGGAAGTTCTCTGCTTCGGCAGTTAGGGGAGCGTTCGAAGGCTGTGCTGGCTCGGCCTCTTCGGCTTGGGGAAGCTCCTCGAAGTCGGTTACGGGAACGGGATTCGAAGTAAACAGTCGCGAGGATACGAGGCCGGTCTTCATGGCATGTGTGGGCGGCGGCGCCGGGCCTCTCTCGGCGGGATTGCTTGTTCGTGGAGTCTTGGGGAATCTGCCCGAGTCGCCATCTTCTGTCCGTTGACGTTTCGCGCTTCTGTTCGTGTAGTAGTCGGCGCCGGTGTCTCGTCGCCCTGTCGAGGCCTCTTTTGTCTGGTCTTGTCCACCCTTCTCGCCCTTTTGCGCCTTGACTCTGTCCCTCCAACGGCCACCTGTGTACTTGACTGTCTGCTTGATCGGAGCATCTCCAATCTCGAAGTTGAGGAACATATCACCGTCGTCCGCCATTTCGACTGATTTTGCTGCAAAAAAGAGGTGTGGTGGTGCTGGCAAAGAGCAATTGGAAATGTGTATGGAAGACGAATGTTCTGGGAATTGGCAGAAAAAAAGTTCAACGTCCACTGCAATGTCGATCCCCGCAACACAGTGGCTCTCAGTGGACTGGCACTCTGGGCGGTTGCACTGAAAGTGGAATTGGGTCCTTGGCCAGATCAAAGTGGGGCATCCGCTTCAGTTGTGTAAGTGGACCGTATCAACTCGCACTGTCCTTGTATCAAATCACTGCACCTCCTTCAACAGAAGACAAAACCAATGCCTGTGTCTGGGGAGTGATCATGTTGATATTGGTACATATTTTCTGGTCATTTCTCATTATGCGTTGCTAATAATACATGGGTACTGGTAAATTCAAAAAAAAAAAAAAAAAAGCCACCGTGAAATGCTAACGTTGTCAAGAACTGCCGTTCGAGATATTCGCGAAACATGTACGCATGTGATAACGTTTCCTTGCTGGGGTAATTCATCCGGTTCTCATAGCATCCAATTTCCCGATCATGTCCTGCATGGAGTGTCAGTAAGCAGCTTGGTAATAATCCAACGTCGTACGTAGGCGAATTTCTACGCATTGAGTTGATGACGAGGTTCCAGCCAAAAACATACCTCGTATAGTCAACATAGACGCGTGTCACACTCAGAATCAGAAGCAGTCTTTTGCAACATCTCCGTGTGTCTCATCAGAGACAGATCTCGTCCCGATCGGCGATTCTGGAAGGAGGCCGCGAGTGTCCGGACTCATCTTGGGTGGCATTTTTGGCCAGACTTTGCGCGTAGGGGGACTTCTTCCGGAGAGTCGGTCCGTAGATATACGTTAAGTAGACCGCCGCGACGAGAAGAAGGGATATGGCAAATAGGATGGTGTTAGCGATCGCCAAGTGCCTCTTCCCGCCAATATTGCTAACGAAGGGAGTAGCAGGTACGGTTAGGACACCAGCAAGGAAGTCGCGAGCCCACCCGTTACCTCCGGTAGCAGAAGCTGAGTAAGGGCCGTAGGCACAGATCATGTACTATCGAGTATCTGGTTAGCCATGAATTTCCCCAGTTGAGGAAGTGGAATCGAGCTTACATCTATGGTGGCCATATAGATGGAATAGTTCGCAATGCCAATAATCGCAGACCCGACCATAGTCCCAATCCAATGAATGGGCGGTCCACTACACGTCCAGGCAAAAATGATCAGACCAATGGGCAAGCATGGAGCAGTCCAGAGAAGCCACCATAGCCGAGATTCATACTGCGCATGCTCGCTATGCGGTTTCAGATCGCGTGCCCTTTGGTTGCGCTTGAAAGCAGGTAAAAAGGACAGCCAGGCGATCAGGTACCCCAAGCCAATTGGGATGAAAGCAAGGCCAATTTGGATCTTGGAGAATCCCCATTGATTGTAGACCAGAACAAAGGACTGGATCTGCATAAAGACGAGGGCATCAGAGAATCCTGACAGTAGTGAGAAAGTGAGGACAATCGGCTCCGTAACAAACATTCGAAAGGGACGGCCCCAGTTTTTCGTCAACTTTTTCCAACTGAAGCGTTGATGGACGGGGCAGAGTTCATTGGGGCCGTAGACATTGGGCGCCATGCCTGACTCTCTGCGCTTCTTGGCGATTTCGTCGAGATGGATAGTACATCTCGTCTCTGGAACACAGACTTGGTGAAGAACCTGAACGAAAACACCAAAGATCAGCTGGATCCAGATGCACCACCTCCAGTCTAGATAGGTCTCGACAAATCCGCCGATGATGGGGCCAAGGACTGATCCGCCCACCGAGGAAAAGACGATATAGGAGACGGCAACCTGCTGGTCAGCAGGCTCGTACATGTCGGCAATCATGCCGAGAGTGACACTGCCACCAGCGCATGATAGGCCTCCTAGGGCGCGGCAAACGAGGATGGTTGCGAAATTGGGAGCGAGGGCGACGGGGATGGACCAGATGTTGACCAGAAAGAGCGAGGCCTGCAGAACCTTTTTGCGACCAAACTCTTCGGACCACGGCGCCCAAAGCTCGCACCCGAAGGCATAGGTGATGAGGAAGATGGCTGCGCCCCAGCGGGCTTTCTGAAGGCTGATAGCAAACTCTTCAGAGATGCCGGCTAGACCGTTGG